CCCCAAAACCCCAAAACCCCATCTGAATAAATAATCAGATAATTTAAATAGAAAAAATTTAATTAAAATAAAATTCGCTTGATTATTAATGCGCACTAAGGAGCATCTTTAAAATAGCAGTAATCTCGCTTTACAAATTTACTCATATTTAGAGACTAGGAACAACACTTAGGGGACAGAAGAGAGCATTGATAGAAATTATCATTCAAATCAACAAGAAAACATTCAACTCAATGCTAACTTGGATCTACAATAAGAAGAATCCAAAAAGGATATGATTAACCCACTTGATTATGAAAATGAAGAGGATGCAGAGAGTGAGTGCAGAATAATGATTTAGCAAAGCTCTGATAAATCTATTGATAAGAAAGCATAAACTCAAGCTAATCTCAAACCAAAGTCATTGATTAACTCACCCAAAAATCAAGCAAAATCATAGTAAGCTTTTAATCAGATTAAATAACATCTATAGGCATGATGATTTAAGAGAAAAATAGACAAACTTAGACTAATCTCACTCAGCCATATCAATCAAGATTCAAAGGCCTTCTGATTATGATCCAAGTTTTCTTAACCCTGTTCCTGACTATCTTCGAGCCTCTTCATAGAAACTTTAAGAGATGCCATTATAAGAAAGCGAACTTATTTACAGATCAAATAGCACAGCTCACAATAACTTCGGTAGCTAGAATCAAGATCCAAATTGCTCTTTAAATGAATCTAGTCATACAATTTAGAACTTAAAGCTTTTGAAATCTGAAGATACTGAAAAACTTCTTAAAATGGACAAAATTGATATCATTAAGTATTATGAAGGTTTACTTGATAAATGCCATGAAGTAATTATCAAGAAAAGAGATTAGAATAGAATTATAAGAGAGTAAAAGCTATCGTTGCAATTTAATATTAGCAGAGTGCAAAGGCAAAATATAGAAATTCAGACATAATTAGACTCTTTGAAAAGAGATTATAGCGGCAGATTACTTATAATTTAGAGAGAGAAAGATGCTCTACAACAGTAGTATGCGGCTAAAGAGACTTTGCTAAAACAGTATCAGTCTGCATTTGAGGATTTAAAATGCAAGAACTATCAACTTGAGAATGTGGCATTCACTTATCATATGACTGTACAAAGATTAAAAGAAAAGGAACTGACACTGTCTCAAAGAAATGAAGATTTGCATGAGTAAAGTATTAGAGTTGAAGCAGCTCTAAGGGCAAAGCATGAGGAAGCCTACTAAATATAAAGAGAGAAGGATTCTCTGACATATGATCTAAGAAGGCAATAGGAGATTGAAGATTAATTAAGAATGGAACTAGATTAGATGCAAGTAATGAGAGATGTTGCTGAGAAAGATGTTGATGACATGAAGAAAAAGCTAAGCAAACTAGATATTGATATGATGAGACTTTAAGGTGAAAATTAGAGACTGAAAAGAGATTCATCAACTTATAGATCAAATAATAGATCTACTAATCTAAATGCCTCCACTCATTAAACAATTGTGCGGTTTGATCAGGAAGAGGATGATGACACTATAGTTTATGAGAGTATAAATAATAAGATTGATCAGGGAGTGTCTTGGGTGAGTCAACCTAAATCAACTTAGGTATTCAATAACTCTAGCTTTAGGAAGAGTCTCCCTGAGCCATCTATAAATATGGGTTATGAACACAGTTTTTCAACAAAGCCTAATGTCAAGCAATCCTACTAAGAAGATTTCTACTAGAAAATTAAAAGAAGAGATATTTCAAATGAACATAATCCCTTCTAAAGACCTCAAACGAATAGTTCTTTCAGCCCAGTAAGAGTTAACAACAATGAGGACTACGAGTAAAAATCTCAAAATACTAGAAAAGGAGCTGCCAACAATACTATTGATCATAGTAGCTACAATAAAATAGACGAATCAACATACATGAAAAACAAAAGGAAGCAGGAGTCTAGCTAGTTGCAAGGGGTATTCAACTGGGGTAGCAATGATTAGTCATCATTTAATCTCAGAAATGTTGCTGAGGACTATAGAAAGTCATATTAACCTACATCTGCCACTACTCAAGGAAATAAATGTAAGTTGATTATTTTTATAACGGTATAAAGCAAACTATCAAAACTCTCCATACAAATAAACATTTGGTGATTAAGATGTGAATGATTTCTCAGATTAGCAAGGAATCTATTCTACTCCTTAGAAGTCCAATCGTAGAGGAAAGTCTTGCTCCTATATGGGCATTGGGGAAAGAGATAACGAAGACTTTTCATCTGCTACTAAAGGCTCAAAGGGATAAGATAGAAGTGCTGTTGTTAATGAATTCAAAAAGAATGGCAGTAATCAGCAAACTCTCTAGGTAATGAGCTAGAAACTCAATCAAGAATTAACTTAACTTCAACTTGAAAAGCAGAGACTTGAAGGAGAATATGGCAAGGTAAGAGGATCATCTACCTCTGCCAGAAATAACATGAAATATAAGAAAGAGATTCTAGAAAATGAGATTGATCAAGTCGATTCAAGAATAAGTAAGATAAGACTAAATATTAGAGATCTTAAAAGTCAAGGTTTAATTATTTGATTTAAGATTATTACCACTTTAAAATTAGATCTCTATTTTTATTTTAAGATTTCCTATGGACTGTTTTAAATATTCATATTCTTATTTTCAATATTTTTCAATTTTTCCCAATTTATATTAATGGGGTTTTGGGGTTTTGGGGTTTTGGGG